TGACTGACCAGGTACAACTACCCACTGACAGCAGGTATTTCTATTTCAAAGAAACAGAAATGCTCTTAAGAAAATAAGACCTCTTAAGACATGCTTCTTAAGAAATACTGAAGTTACAACACAGTTATTGCTGAGATGTGGATAGGATGTACTTCTGAACAAGTACTTGAAATATAATGAAGGTTCTAGAATCCTACAATACAGCATTTGAGAAGCCTCAAAAAATATTCTCATCTTACTCCAGTGATATCCTAGTGCAGCTTGCTGCCTCAGTTAGTAGTTTTGTACAAAATAAATGTGAAACATTTTCACAGTATATGTCCTTGTGCTATACATGTATATATGTATATTAGATACAACTTAGAAAATACAGTAATTACATTCTGAAAACAGAAAATTCTGTCCAGAGTACTTTTCATATGCTGGCTATCCCCTAAAAGGACCCATTTTCCTTTGTGTTGTCTTTACAACTGATCACTGCACAGAAAACATCCAGCCTGATTTTATTTGTTAAAGTACAAGCTCCTAAACTAAAAAAGAAGCAGAGACTCGCTCAAATAAATTCAGAAAAGTACTTCAGCGGAAGAATATTCATGCTCCTAATCATATGTTTTATTCCAATTTAATTAGCTTTGCCTCACTTCACCATCCTGGTTTTGGCTGGGATAGAGCTAACTTTTTTTCCCAGTAGCTGGTGTGGTGTTGTGTTTTGGATTTAGGATAAGAATACAGCTGATCACACCTGAGTGTGTTGCTGTTGAACAGTGCTTATACAGAGCCAACAATGTTTCAGCTTCTCACATTGTCTGGCTAGCGAAGGGTTAGGGGTGTAAAAGGAGCTGGGAGGGAGCCAGAGACAGGGCCCTCTGCTTGGGGGCTGGTGGGCATCAGTCAGCAGGCAGCCATTAGCTGCATTATGCACCACTTGCTTTGTGCATTTTTTAATTCCCTGTAACCATTTTCTTTCCTATCAAGCTGTCTTCATCTCTAATAGTGAGTTTTACCTTTCCCCCTCCCTCATCCTCATTCTGGAGAGCAGCCAGTAAATGGCTGCATGGTGCTGAGCTGCCAGCAGGGTTAAGCCTCAATACTCAAATCATGTCAGGAGCATACATCAGCCCAGCACTGGAAAAGTACAGAATCCATTAAACATGAAACATGGCAACATGAGTGTACTAGCAAGGTGACAAAGTACACTGAAGGTATTTTGGATGCTAACGATGAAAACTGGTTGAAAAGAACTGCAAAAGGATCTGCCCTCAGAAAATCAGGAAACTGCTCAATAAGGCTGCAGGTAAAAATTCTTTGGAGCTAAGTGTAATGCAGTATAAATGAGAAAGAAATCCTAACTTTACATACAAAACCATGGCCTAACTGAGCTATACTGTTTTGAATTTAAGCACAAGTGAAGTAAAACAAGGTAACTGTGGATGCAGCCCAGTGAAAATAGTACTGTCCATAAAAGCCACAGGCCTTTAGCCAGCTACTTCATGCTTACTCTCACAAGACCTCAGCTGGCCAATGTAGGTAACTCCTTGTTATGAGATTTTGCTGTGAGTATGTGGCAGCTGGTAAATGCTATCTCTTATTATTCTGTACAGCCCAAGTGTGGGAAACAGCAAAGGCCTTGAAGACATGCACTGGTAGAACAGTACATGTTCAATACAGAACAGTAACTGATGATAAATCAGTGGTCTCATTCTGAGGAAGAGCTATCTCACGAACTACAAAGATACTACTCTTGCCTGAAGAAAAACAGCAGAAACTAAACCAAAAGAAAAAAAGCACAGCAACAAATAAGGCAGATGTGGCTCTGGGAAGCTATCCTCTGCATCCTGAAGCAGGAGTAATTAGAAACTCAGTGGAAAGTGACCCATCTTCTACGAGAAGCTGAGCCTGGGGAAGGTGGGAGGTCACCCATTGCTGCACACCATGGAGCATCAGTATGAGCACAGCGCATCTGGAAGGAGAGGTAAGGACTGACAGGGAATTGTGATAGGATGGTACAGCTCACAGCCCTTCAGAAAATGGTATTTCAGTGGATTTAACCTGGGCAATTTTTCATGAAAGGAAAGTTAACAATATGTAAGATAGTTCATGAAATATTCGGGGTTTTAGAGCAATTAAAATCTGTGCTGTTCAGCTATAAAAGATATGCAGGACTATGGGCAAAGGATCAACTAAAATTTACATCTGTAACTTAAAACGTCTGTATTGCAACCAAGTCAGCAAGGCAAGGCGCAGCCTGCACTGAGGCCGTGGAGGCCCGCACCCACAGGGGCGTACGGAGCCGCGCCGGCACCGCTCGCCGCAGCTGGGGAAGGTCCGTGTGCAGGCGTTATGTGCGCAGAACTTACTCTTTTTCTTTCTGGAGATATAATACGAGAGGGTAAATACGGCCGAGAAGAAAACGTGTTCCGGAAGTCGAGAGCTCGCAGAATTTGCTCCTAGTTAAACAAGGAAACAAAAATAAAACCGTAGCATCACACGCTTTCCTAGGCAGCCAAAGCCGTTCAGCGGGGCGCAGGCGCTGCTGTTCCGGAGCAGAGTTCGAAGCGGCGCTCGCAGCGCCGGCAGGGTTCGCACCGCAGGAACGTGGGCTCCTCGGCAGGCACTCGCTGCCTCGCCGCCGGCGGACTTCGTTTTTTACCCGCCCAGCCCTCCCCGAGGTCCGCAGGCCCCCGGCCGCCACGTACCCTGTAGGCGCTGAGGACGAAGGCGACCCGCTGGCGGGTGCTCTCCGCCGGCTGCAGGGGGTGGGCGGCGGCAGGCAGCGCCTCTTCGTACAGGTACTCGGAGCCGCAGGGGGACAGCAGCAGGCGGGCCCCGTCCGCGTAGTGCACCTCCACGGAGTCGTCCTCGTACAGCACCATCAGCCGTTCCGCGGCCATGGCCCAGGAGGCGGGCGGCGAGGCGGGTCGCCGAGCAGGGCCCTGCCTGCCCCCCCCGGCGCGCCCTGCGGCATGGCGGGCTGCTGCCACGGCGGCTCCGGTGTGCGGAGTGAAAAGGTCCTTGTGACTTTTGTTTGTATTTTCTCACGATTTGATGGTGCGCCGCGTCTGCTGCAGTCTCCCTGCTCGTGTCTGCACTCAGGCTGCGCAGGACAGGACATCACTAAGTAATGATTCCTTCATATTTGAGTGAGAAGTGCTCAGGAGTGGCGTGAATGAAAACAGCTCCTGAAAAGGAAATTACTGCATGTAAAGCAGTGGCTTCTGGTTAAAATACAGAAATAAAAACGGATGCCCAGCTACGTGGGAGTACGGGAGAGTCATGGGCCTGTTGGAGCGCACGCAGAGGGGGTCACAAAAATATCCAAGGGATGGAACAGCTCCCCTGTAAGGATGGGCTGAGAGCTGGAGCAGTTCAGACTGGAGAAAAGGCTGTGAGGTGACCTGAGAGCGGCCTTTCAGTATCTAAGGAGGAGCTATGGGAAAGAAGGGGACAGACTGTTGGTCTGTTATTAACTGGAGATGTCCTGGCGGACTGGTGACTGGCAAATGTGACGTCCATCTCCACAAAGGGCCATAAAGGCAATCCTGGTAGCTGCAGACCTATCAGTTTCACGTTGGTGGCCAGGAAGGTTATGGAATGGATAATCTTGGGAGCCATCGTGGACCAATTAAAAGGTCAACCAGGGGATCAGACCCAGTCAGCATGGGTTTACAAATGGTAGATCGTGTCTGACAAACCTGATTGCATTTTATGTACTTAGTGGATGAAGGTAAGGCTGTCAGTGTGGTCTACCTGGACTTCAGTAAAGCCTTTGACACTGTCCCCTACAACATTCTCGTGGAGGAGCTGGTTGCCCATAGTTTGGATGGGTGTACCCTCTGCTGTGTGAAACACTGGCTGGATGGCCAGGCCCAAAGAGCTGTGGTCAATGGAGTTAAATCCAGCTAGCAGCGGTTATGAGCAGCATCCCCCAGGTGCTCAGTACTGGGGCCACTTCTATTTAACAACTTTGTTAATGATCTTGATGAGGGGATTGAGTGCACCCTCAGAAAATTTGCAGACAACACCAAGTTGGGAGGCAGTGTTGGTCTGCCTGAGGGTGGAAAGGCACTACAGAGGGACTTGGATAGACTGGATCGATGGGCCAAGGTTAACTGTATGAGTTTCAGTAGGGCCAAGTTTTGGTCCTGCAATTTGGTCACAACAACCCCAGGCTTGGGGAGGAGTGGCTGGAAAGCTGCCTGATGGAAAAGGACCTTGGTGTACTGATGGACAGTCGGCTGAATATGAGCCAGCAGTGTGCCCACGTGGCCAAGAAGGCCAGTGGCATCCTGGCTTGTATCAGGAGTGGTGTGGTGAGCAGGACAAGGGAAGTCATCCTGCTCCTGTACTCAGCAGTACTTCAGGTGAGGCCTCACCTCGAGTACTGTGTTCAGTTTGGGGCAGCTCAGTACAGAAGGGACACTGAAGTGCTGGAGCAGGTCCAAAGAAGGGCCACAAGGCTTGTGAAGGGCTTGGAGAATATGGCCTACAAGGAGAGACTGAAGGAACTGGGGCTGTTCAGTCTGGGGATAAGGAGGCTGAGGGGAGACATTATTGCTCTCTTCTAATACCTGAAAGGAGCTTACAGCAAGAGTGAGGTTAGTCTCTTCTCACTGGTGACAGGTGACAGGATGAGGGGAAATGGCCTCAAGTTGCACCATGGTAAGTTTAGGTTGAATATCAGGAAACACTTCTTTACAGAAAGGGTTGTTAAGCACTGGAATGGGCTCTGAGGGAGGTGGTTGAATCACCATCCCTGGATGTGTTTAAAAACCATTTGGATGTGGTGCTCAAGACATGATTTAGCACAGGGTTGTTAGTTAGAGTAATATGCTGAGGTCATGGCTGGAATCAATCTTTAAAGTCTTTTCCAACATGAGTGATTCTACGATTCTATGACAGGACAAGGGGAAATAGTTTCAAACTAAAAGTGGGAAGATAGTTGATTTAAAGCGAACAAGTGTAAAATTTGATAGAACTGGATTATAGTTCAGAAATGCATATTCTAGTTTTGGTTAGTCTTTATTCAGGTTTTATCTGTTAAAAATACAAGTAATGGTACATCTCATATTTTAAAATATTGGAGAATTTATGCTGGCGTAGTTTTTTGCTGGCAACTACAGTGCTAGGGTCACAACTCAAAACTTGGTAACTGTGGAAGTGCGTCAAGCAGACTGAAGTAGGTAGACATGGCATCAGCAATTCAGGAAGTACAAATATGCAGTATCATTCTTGATTTTTGGCTGGAACATCATTTTTGAAAATCTGTATCAACTGGAAGGATCTATGACTGAGATGATTTGAACTATAATTGTGTCAAAGAGAAGCAAAGTTGCAAATTTGAGTTATTACTAATTCAGTAAGTGAGTTCTGTGTAGGAAGGAGAGAAAGGCAGAACATGATGATATGGAAATACCAGTCCCAAGAGAAATAAAAATAACTAACAATGCAGAACAAGTGACAGTGAAGCTCAGTGCCACAATGGATGTCACTTGAAAATAATCCTAACTGTGCATAGTCATAGGCACCTGTCCTACTTGATCCAGACTTCTTTCTGTAGCACTACAATTACTCTTAAAAGCAAAATTCAAAAGCTTAGTGATATTTTCCTAATTAAAGAAAAGTAGACCAATAGCAAAAGTTCTTAGCAAAAAGAAATTGCTGAGAAAGTTTCTGAATATGAAACTTATTCACAGCAGATGGCATGCAAAGCAATGTGTCCTGCAGCCCTGCGTTAAATGACTTTAAGCAATGCGAGATCTAGTACTAAACGCTTTCACTCAATCACAAAAATCACTCTTTGCCAAGAGTGTCAAATATTGTGCATACTTTCTGTGTCGTGAAGTTAATCAGTTGGTCACAAGAACAATTCAGATTCCATGAACATTTCTTGTTGGAACTGTACGTAAAAAGTTGGCTTTGCTTCTCTCTTCAAGTTTCCATGCTACCATTAACTTCGTTGGCTTAGCACTGTGCCACAAAGAAAGCATCTCTTTAAAGAATTGTTCAATTGCAAGTTGATGTTTAGAAGCTTATAGATAAAAAGCACTTTTACACAGTACACTACTAATTTGTAAATGTTGAAGCGTAGGTGAAATCATCCTTAAACATCTGGAGGCTCACCTCTATGATACATAGAAGAGCTACTGGCTGTTAAAAACTGGTCAGATAAGCAGCAAATGGTGACTGTTGCAAAGCAAAGCCCGCTTCCTTCTTCTGCACCCTTACATCTCATTCCATTGTCAGTAATTTGTATTAGACTCCTGTGAGATTTAGGATAAGCAGGAAAGACTGTTGTATTCTTATAGTAAACACAATATTGTCTTCCTTACTGAGTAAAGGAGACTTAAAGCCAGTTTTTCCTTATTGTAGTAAAGCTGTTCTAAAGCTCTCACAAACCTTGTGTACGTAGAATCTCCACTACCTTGAATGAAAGTCCCAATATTCAGCTCTCATTATTTTTCCTGGAAAAACAGAAAAAGCCTATTTTGTAAGTATTGATCTGGATTGCCTAAAATATACAGTTCCTAATTCACATTTTTGTACAAGATGACTTAGGGTATTTTCTTAATGACATGTGAGACACGTACATCAGCTTGTACAGATAGTGTATGTATCCTGGTTTTCATAAAAACATGCTGCTCAAGAGGTGCACATTTGAACATGTAAGGCAGAGTCCCCTGAAGAAGCTCTTAATTTACTGTAATGAATTTTGCAAATCCTTCTTCCTTTGTCATGCTACTGAGAATTTCCATTTTCAGAAATATGTTTTCCACAAGAAATCTGCTTGTAAAGTCGTAAGAAGACTGACCTACATGTGAATTGAAATTTTTAAAGAAAATTACGCACAATCTAATGTCAGAGAATGCACGTGTTAAGTATCTTCATCTGAAAATAATTTAATTTACACGTTTCTGCTTCTTGGGTTTTCATCTAAAGACTCTGAAATGTTAATACAGATCTGCTGACCGCTACTATCCTTCTATAAATTTTGCATCCTCTCTGCAGCTGCTACTTTAAAGAAAAAGAGGACTTTTGCAGGTAGGAGAAATACAGAAGAATCAAAAAAATTTTTTTCTTTTTTTAAGCAAAAAGGCAAAACAGTGAAAATATAACAAAGGAAACAAAGCTAGTTAAATTTTATTTTCCAAAACTCCAACCTAAATGAATGTTCAATAAACACCCAGAAAACAGTGCTCACTGTATTAGCAGACGCACAAGTCATTTAACCAAACGTATTACAGTGAAATATTAACAGAATTATTTACATGCATATTTACAACAACATGTTCTTTACAGTAGCTACTGTTTAGGACTTTTTTTTTTTTTTTTTTGTGTGTGTGTATTTGTGTAGTAAGGGATTCTACTTAGTCTAACCAGAAACAGATAACAAGAAACAGTACAACTGAGTTTGGCAACAACAGCAACAATGGAATTTATAGACTAACATGATTATATTGAGTCAAAAAAGAGCAGTCAGTTTCAGAACGTTAACATTTATGAAATACATGAACATACTCAAACTACAAAATTAAGACAACTTATATAAAATAATTAGAAGGATGGAGAAAATTACAAGTGTTGCCAGAAGGTTAGACATGTTAGATACATTCAAAAATATATCGAGCACTGCACATACTCTTGAGGAGCACTGGTTCAACCATAACTATATTCATGTAGTCTTGAAGAACACGGCAAATTTAAAGGATATTTAAAGGATAGTTTTTGCTCGTAAAAGTTAGAAATAAGCTTATCTGAACCACAGATCTTGAAAGCACCTGACTTATAAAATACAGCTTAGTTTTTCACAATATCCCCATATTTCATGTTAATGTGTCCAGACTTCACACAAAAGGGTAGAGGAAAGAGGGAAGAAACAAAGCAAAAAAAAAAAAAAAAGAAGTGTGTATATATATATATGATTATATATAGATATCCCCACAAAACAACCCACAAGACACAAAATCTTCACAAACTACTTCTCATGATTCCATGATTGAAATCTACAGAGATAATCTGTATTTGGATCATACTCTCCTTAGCAATAAAAAAAGCAACAAAACAAACAAAAACAACAAAAAAAGGATAGCTTGCATGTGATAAAAGAGATGGGAGAGTTCTACTGCATATTAGAAGCAAGCAATTAAAAGATCAAATTGTTCTTTCCTTTCTCCCACAAGAGAAATTTCATGGGACAGTTCCGCTTTAGTTAAAATTTAATTTCCATTACGATATTTTTAAGTTGAATTTTTATTGCAGCCAAAACACTGTCCGTATACCTGTACATAAAATAAACTATGATATATACACAACATTTTAAGATACAGGGCATGTGATTACAATTTTTGGCAGATTCTGTTTAACAAAAGGGAAACTGTATCTTCAATTGTTGGAGAAACTTAACTTCCTTATTTTGGTACAAATGTTTCAATTTATGCATCCCCTTACACTCTAACCATACCTAAACTGCTTTAGCAAGCATATTTAATATTTATGTGTAACTTCTCACTGTTTTCTCCCATGTTCAGATTCTAGACAGAATTTTTCATACGCTTCTTCAATTTCTGGATCCATCTCATCATCAATGTCATCAAAGTATCTATAAAAAAAACACAACACCAAAAGTAAACTTAAGTATACAGTTTCAGCAACAGTATGTTGGTGAAATATTCATATAGACGTCAAGAACAAAACAGACCTTTACAGTAGTTGTTAACTGTAACATTAATTAAAAGGGGATGAAGAGGAAAAAAAGCAATGGGATGGAGAGTAAAAACCTCTAAGTAGCACAGGTACAAATCATTACAGTGTTTGACACCATTTTAGATCATATCATGTTGCCTACTAGGTTAAAGAAGTATCTTGGATGACAGACAAAGTGGATAATACAATGTAAAACAACTTCCTTCCAAAATTTCACAATGAATTTGTGTTAATCTTTTTGAAAAAAGGTTAATTAGCATCACCTTCAGTTAGTCAACGTCCTTGTTCAAACACTGCATCAACTATCATGTTTGCACATGAGCTGGAAGAAGTTATTATATGGACAACCTATACTCCAAATTGCTAATACACATAAGAAGGCACTCAATTCATCTCTTTTGTATTTGTATTATAGTACCTTTTATTAAATCATATCCTGCCCGTTTTTTTTTTTCTTCAGGAAAGACCTGTTATATTTAGGTCAGAGAAAGACTGGATTCCATTAATAGTAATAAGTATTGCAGAGAGTGAAGACTACCACAGAGTTTCGAAACAGCACTGAAAACTGATGGGGTTCACTTAACAGCTTTCTACTCCCCACAGCTAGCAGAAAGACCACGGAACACAGTCTCCTGGAAGATACGTGAAGGTACATGTGAGCTGAGGAGGTGACCTGAGACAGCCAGCACAGCTTCACCAAGGGCAGATCATGCCTGATCAATGTGGTGGCCTTCTATAATCACAGCATCAGCTGACAAAGCAAGGGCAACTGACATTGCCTCCCTAGACTTCTGTAAGGCATTTGACATGGTCCTACAAGATACCCTTATCTCTAAATTGGGAAGAGATGGATTTGAAGGGTAGGCTATCCAGTGGAAAATGAACTGATGGGACAGTCATAGCCAGAAGGCTGTGCTCAATGGCTCTCCAGGTGGAGGCCAGAAATGAGTGGTCTCCCTCAGGAATCTCCTGGGGAGTGGTGCTCTTCAGCATCTTGATCAGTTGCACACACAGTGGGTTTCTGTGCGAGTCTGCAGATGAATCACAGAAACACCAAGGTTGGAAAAGACCTACGAGATCATGCAGTCCAACCATCCACCTATCACCAGCAGTACTCACTAAACCATATCCCTCAACACAACATCCAAATGTTCCTTAAGGAATAGCTGTCATTCAAAAGGACCTTGACAAGCTTGAGAAGTAAGAGTTCGATGCAGCCGAGTGCCAAGCGTTGCACTTGGGTCAGAGCAATCCCAGACATGTACAGCCTGGAAGAAGAACTAACTGATAGTAGCCCTGCAGAGACAGGCTTGGGGGTTCTAGAGGACAGAAAAAGGGATACAAGCCAGCATTGCACGCTTGCAGCTGGAAAGCCAGCTGTATCCTGAGCTGCATTGAGGAGCTTGAGTGAGCCCTCAGGTAATTTGCAGATAACACCAAGTTGTAAGGAAGTGTTAATGTGCCTGCACATACAATGACCTACAGAGGGATCTTGAAAGGCTGGACTGATGAGCTGAGGCCAACTGTGTGAGGTTCAACAAGATCAATTGCCAGGTCCTACTCTTTGGTCACAACAATACCATGCATGACAACAGGCTCAGAGCAGAGTGGCTGGAAGACTGCAGAGGAAAAGGTCCTGGGGGTATTAATCAGCAGACAGCAGAACATGAGCCGGCAGTGTGCCCAGGTGGCCAATGGCATCCTCTCTGCAATACTGATTATTATGAATGGAAATACAGTAGTCAGGAGTAAGGAGGTGATCATTTCTCCGTACTTGGCAATAGTGAGGCTACACCTTGAGTACTGCATTCAGTTTTGGGCTCCTAACTACAAGAAAGATATTAGGGCCTGGGAAAGAATTCTTCTGAGTGCTCAGGCAGTGGAACTGGCTTCCCTGGAAGTCTTCCCAACCTTCTGCTGTCCCTGGAGGTTTTCAAAAGCAGGGTAGCTGTTGCCACTGAGGGACATGTTTTAACAGGCATGATGGTGAGGGAATGATTATTGGACTAGATGATCTTAGTGGTCTTTTCCAACCTCAGTGGTTCTATGAAAAAGATTCTGTGAAAAGAGAGGTCAGCAGAGGGAGGTGATTATCCCCTTCCAGTCTGCCCTTGTGAGGCCCCACCCACAGTACTATGTTCAGGCCTGGGGCCCTCAGAACAAGAAGTATGTGGAGCTGTTGGAGCACATCCAGAGGAGGCCATGAAGATGATCAGATGGCTGGAGTACCTGTCCTATGAAAAAAATTAAGGCAGGTGGACTTGTTCAGCTTGAAGGATAGGCAGCTTCACGGAGACCATATTGCTCAAAAGGGAGCATATAAACAGGAGGAAGACCAACTTTTTACAAGCTTTGATAGTGGCAGAACAAGAGGAGATGGTTTTAAACTAAAATGATAAGAGATTTACATTAGACAGTACGAGAAAATTCTTTACTTGGAGGGTGGTGAGGCCCTGGAACAGGCTGCCAGAGAAGTTTTGAATGCTCCATCCCTGGAGGAGTTAACGGCCAGGTTGGTTGGGACCCTGGGCAGCTGGAGGTACTGGATGGCAACCCTGCCTAAGGCAGAGGAATTGGAACTAGTTTATCTTTAAGGTCCCTTCCGACCCAAGTCATTCTGTGTATGATAGAATGGGAATGCAATTCTTAAAAAGTCAGCAGCTAATGACTCTCAGTAAGTGTGCAATTGTTTGAAGTTATTATCTTCTGTGCATGAGTTCCAACGAAGGCAATCACATATCCTCCTAGAATCATAGAATGGCCTGAGTTGAAAAGGAATCACAAAGATCATCTAGTTTCAACCCCCTGCTGGTTGGTTGGCGAAACCACCAGACCAGGCTGCCCAGAGCCACATCCAGCCTGGCCTCTTATCTGTACTAGGGCCAGAAATGTTAGGTTTCACACAAAATCATGGTAACTGTCAGGGAAATATGTAAAAAAATAATTTCTTGAGCACTGCCTTAAATAATCAGTTCTCTTTCTCTTGTAGTGTAGATGCACAGAGACCCCATTTACTGCATGAAAGCTGCAAGAAATAGCTGACAGAAGATCAATACTATACAATTGCATAAGTTTTCTTAAGCTTTCAGCAAAGAATGTTCTGAAGTCAGTTCTAATAAAGGCTGAGACAGTCTTCCACATTCAGATACACTTCTTTTTTTTTAAAGTGCTATCTGTCTTCATTTTGCATTTAATTTGATCTTACAAGCACAATCTGTTCAAATAGATATTTTTACTTCAATATTAGCCTGTTGATTTCTGATGGCATCTCTAATTTATGTTCACCCATAATTTCTGCAAGTACCCTTAGCTAGCTTCCATCCAAGTCTTCTAATTTACTAAGAAAAATATTGATCTAGGCCAGAGCTC